AAACTAATCACACCCAATTCACAAGGACTCCTCGATACCTCAACTATCAATTTGCTTCCATTTCGCAGTCTAGTGGCATTGAAAGAGAAGACTGGAGTTGGCAATACAAGACATGACTCGCTTACACTGATGCAGAACACAAAGATAGAACATCCGAACTACATTCACCCCTTGTACACATCTTCATGTTTTAATGCTACCACGAATTGTCAGACAAAGATCACTTTCCATTATGTTAAATAATCGAGTAAAATAATCCATAACAGTGCGTGTACACACTTACAGTTTGAGTCCTCTGTATGATCACCGCCGCCCTATCACCGGAGATATGCGAGAACAAGACATTCTCCCTCAAGCTGCCACACTTCCCTCCTTCGGCAGCCCATTTCGCCATCACGGAGCCGCGCACGATCACGAACACCTCTCTTTCCGACCGGCTCGACGAATCGGAACCGCCTTCGACATCGAGCATGGACCGGAGGTCGGAAGCTAGGACCGACGGGGCATCCTGGAGCTTGCGGAGAGCGGAGGAGCTGGAGGTGAACTTGACGATCGTGCGGGCGGCGGCGTAAGCAAGGGTCAGGCCGAGGACGGCGGCGCCGTCGATTGAGAGGGCGATGTTGGAGAGGAGAGAGACTACGGCTTGCTCGTGCGAGGACATAGTTGAGAATGATCCGGAAAAGTGAATCGAGAATTCTGTATATTTCTATATATAATAATAAAAAGTATATAAGTCTATTCATAAATTTTATAGAATGACTATCTACCGTAGTAAAATATTATAAACAATCAAAAAGATATTTAAAATATCAATTAAAATCTATCGAAAAGATATTCATAATATGAGATATAATAAATAATTTAAATATATCTAACAGATAGAGTGCGATTTTGGAGAATTACATGGTGGTGGTATGTGGTAGTGTACCTAGGCGGTCACATGTGAGCGGATCAGTTTTTGCCTTTTCTAAATGTTAACTACTTGATTTTAAGTTTTTTGTCTAAGAATAATCGGATCATGTCAAAGTAGTCTCCAAATGTTGTAAATGATGGCAATTTTCTTCCTACTATGTTATGTACAGGACCATAATTACGTAGTTAAAAAATGGAACATAATAAGTATACGACCTAAAAAATGACCAGTCCGAGACTCAGTCTAGTTGTCCTTTTTCATTTTTCCATTTTTTTTTCACTCCCCAGTCCATTTTTCCAATTTTTCTTTGAAATTGACTAATAACGAGTTCTTCGGAAAAACCATGGCATAAAAAAAAATTACGTAGGAAAGCAAGACTCATGATATGTTTGATGAAAAGATAACATAAATTTGAATTGAATTCACAAAAAATCTCGATTCTTTATTTTCCCTCTTTTTTGAAAAACACTAAGGTTATTCATAGTGGAATGACATTGAATCCACTACTAACCTAGACTACATGGACTGACCAGAGATCTGTAGTAAAGTAAGTAAATTGCAAGACTGAGGATTAGAAGACTTACTTCACCGATGACCCTTATGGGAATCTCATAGACATACCCATGTTACATGGCTCAATTTTTATTCTAGAAGGCTTAACAAAGTGGAGTCAAAAGGATGATCGAACTAGGGGTGTGAAAAAGAATAGGGAATCGCCCGGACCTTCCGAAACAGGTGGTTCCTAAGAAAACCGATCCAGTTCCTGGTTTCAGGTGTGGAACTGCCCACCTGCCTACTCGGACCGGACCGGACTGGTAATATAATAATAATAATAATATAATATATTTATTTAATTTTTAATTAAAAAAGAAGAAAAATCATAAATTCATAAATTAAACCTAACTCTCTTGATGCTCATAACCTCACACTGAGCCGAGAAACACCTTTTTCGCTTTCGCCTCACGCTCACGCTCACGCTCACGCTCACTCTCACTCTCACTCTCTTACTTCTCGGTCGATACTCACCTCACCGTCTCCGACTCTCCGTCTCTCCGTCTCTGTCCTTGGCTGATGGGACTGATTCCCGAGTGGATCCATGGAACCAACAAGCGGTTTCCGATTTCAATTTTTCAGGATTAGTCCTTAGTGGGCGGTTTCCAATTCTAGGGTGGGAACCGCTCACCCGGACCATGCTCATTCTTAGATCGGACTAGCCGCAGGCATGCAGACTAAGTCAAGTCCTCATGACTCCGGCTTGGTCGAAAAGCCGACCTATGGCAAGCAAAGTGGTGGGTACTCTCGACACCAAGAAAGAAATTTCGAGATTGAGATGTGTGACTTGCATCGCGGGCAGTCGGAGTGATATCCATCTCAATACCATCCTATGTGATCTTATGCGACTCGGTGTGGCGGTAGATTGTGTGTGCTAGAGTGTAGTGGAAATGCATAGGCATGCACAAGAGTTCATATGCAAACAGTGCATAAAACATTCAACAGGTTAACGATCACACCACCCCTTACAACTCCCATATGCAAGAACAGTTAACACCGATGTACTTAGAATCCTCGCAGCCAAGTAAAAATATTTTTTTCAAAAAGAGAAAATTGGCCTAAGTCCAATACAAATTTTTTCAAGTTCAGCGAAGTCGCCAAGCTCTCGCGACCTACCGAATGGTGCACCACCTAGGAGTTTGGCTAATGGATTGTCAAGACTAGACTTAATTCGAGCTCTGCCAAGCTCATACCAATTCGCGACTTACGATTTAAGTTGTCATTTCAATTAAAAGTCTCTACTAATCTATTTTTTGGTGGATTGATTAGAAACCCAAGTGAAATATTGGAAGATTTACTTTACTTCTATGAACTAAAGATTATGGATTGACTAACACTCTTTTAGTACATTTCTCTTTTATTTCAAGAAGAAAATGTTTCTCAGGCATCTTGGATTCATGTTAAAGATCTATCTTCTAATATGTGAGGTGTTCACGTGGGTGCGAAGACATTAAATAAACACTCAATAAACCAAAGCATTTTTATAGATTGCACCCAAACAATAATTTAAATACCTAGATAAAAATTGATGAAATAAAGACTAAACATATCTTAGCCATGGTTTCTAAACAAATCTTTTATTTGGTTTTTTTAATTTTTTATTAAAACTAGGGTTTATGCAGTGCATGATATGCGAACCCAATTCTAAACTATAGTCTACATGATCTATTCTAACATGGTATGTGAGCTAATTAAGTTAATTTAAGACATGTAATTAACTAAATGACATGGGAGGGGTATTTTTTATTTATTAATTAAAAATTCGAAATTAAAATTTCTAAACTAAACATGTAATCATAACCTATTTTAAGAAAATATTTTTTGTATTTTTTCACTAAAATTCGAAATTAAAAATTGAGGAGGATTAATTATCTATAGTTGGATATTATTTAATTCAAACTAGGAGTTAACATATCTTAATCCCAATTTAGATCAAAATCCTATCTTCAGTATGGGTAATATCCTAGAATGCAAACTCTAACTAAAATTATCCTATTCAATCTATCCGGAAAGTTTGAATTATAATCCTATCCAAAGCTATTCTATCCTATCGGGAAGATTTTAAATCTAATTCTATAATAAACTACCACTTTAAATCTTTTTTGGTATTTTCAAATTTTTGGGAAAGATGATATCACCTATAACTCAAAGATAATATTCACAACAATTAATCGAGTAATTCTGCGGGCATAAAAAAATATTTGAAAACCTGCACAATTTATTCAAATTTGATAACTGATAAAACTGGCGAATCGTATCCCGAGCATGGGATTGGGTGAGTCATATCTCGGACATGAGATTGGACTGTCAACCATGGCACGCTGTCGAATTAGGAAAAGCTTGCTTAGGGTATCTGAAGAATCTTGGAGATATGCATATCGCTTGATAACTCAATTGGATAACGATATCCATTAATTCAGATAATGAAATATTCAAATTAACATGGATAGGATCGTTACCTAATCGGTGATGCTCGTGATGACTTAGCTTCATCATCTGGTATAAGTGTGTTTGTTTGCTTCTAGCTTTTTCTCTAGGTATGCACACCAAATCAACTTACTGGTGGTGTCTTCCCAAACCGGACTGGTATATCCTTCCTAAGGCCCAATGACACCAGTGCATCCATCTCCAACCCCTTGTAGTTCCCCAAATAAATACATCTCAAAAGAGAATGAAAGTGGCGCATGTATCCTCCTCCAACAACTTACTCTGTTAAAGTCCTCTTTTCCTCCTTCCATCGTGACCAAAATTACAAAAGAGTCCACTTTATCATAAATTGAGTCGCACTTACAGAAGAAGGAATTGCGTGCTAAGCCAAGACTATCTGCTATAAACTTGAAAACTCTCGACTTTCAAATTGTCAGGTTTACTTCACATCACAAATGAAGAATTGCAGTAACACAACTATACAAGCAAATGCACTTATACCAGATGATGTAGCTAAGTCATTGATTCAGCCTCACAACAATCCGTGAAATCTCCGTCTCAACATCCACTTATATTGAGACCCCACTGGAAAAAGAAGCAGCAGGGACTATGACATTTGCAAAACTAATTGCACCAAATTCCCGATGACTCAATTTGCTTCCCTTTCGCAGTCTAGTGGCATTGAAAGAGAAGACTGGAGTTGGCAATACAAGACATGACTCGCTTACACTGATGCAGAACACAAAGGTAGAACATCCGAACTATATTTACCCCTTGTACACATCTTCATGTTTTAATGCTATCGGGAATCGTTAGACAAAGATCACTTTCCATTATGTTCAATAATTGAGTAAAATAATCCATAACAGTGCGTGTACACACACTTACAGTTTGAGTCCTCTGTATGATCACCGCCGCCCTATAGCCGCAGATATGCGAGAAACTACTTTCGCGTTGCAAGTGGGTGCACCTGATTGGTCCATGCACTATCCGAAAGTTCCAAGTCCGAAACTACTTTCAAGAAGGGGAACACGGAGACGTACTATTGTCACACTCCACACCAGACAAAGGCTTGAAGCGTAAGAAATGAGCAAGCATTTATTTTAATCCCAAAAAAAGAAGAAGAAGAATGTTTCATTTGGAGCAAACGAGTGGCGGCATTTCTCGAAAGCAAAATTGCAATATTCAAGTATTGTCATTAGAGGCCTCAGGGCCATGCACTTCCACCACAATAAGAAATTTAACTCTAAACAGACAAATGGGCACTGACAGCCTCGCCAATATAGGATGCAGAGTCCATTCTAGCTTGTTTCTCATAGCTGTCGCCCCATTTTGGATTTCCAACTTGACCTTAGCTTCTGTTGATGTGTTAGTCAAGAGGAAAAAATGACTGTCAACAATTAGCTTGAGATTGAGAAGCGAGCCAATAGATAGATTACCAGACACCTCGAAATTGTCCTTGATGCTAGAAATTAAGTTTAACATGCTCCCGAAATTGTCAACCTACGGAAATCATAACAAATCAAGTCTCCCAAAAGAGGCATGTAATGGCATTATTAATGCAAGTAAATCCTCACCTTCTCACGCTCGGGGCCCGATTCGATTGACGAATTTCTTCTGGCAACAAGGCCACCTTCCACGGAATATAAATCTGATTGTAAGACAGTAAGAGATGCACTGAGCTCCATTTTTTAATGCTATCTCTCTAATTTAAAAAAAAAATTAACACGGACTAGAGCAAGATACTAACCTGAACCTCAAGCAAATCTGAGGTGGTTTTCACCGGTATAAACCTCGACCGAGGTACATTAATGGCGATTGCATTATCAAAGAGCTGATGCAAGAAGAGACACACAAACTTGAAAAGATAAATTTTCAACAAATGAACTTTTTGAATAGAAGTCAGGCAAAGAATAGAATAGTACCTTGATTGCTGCCCCAGCTGCAGTTTCAAGCTGAAGAACCTTCATTCCATCAGCTTCCTGAAATTCAAGAAACATCAAAAACTAGGTCCCAGTCTATACAGGAAGCATCTAGATTATGTACCTTTTGAATAGGAATGATGTCCATCTTGAGATCTTCAGCTTCCAAAAGCCTTTGAATTGCCTTCAAGTTTACCCATCTGTATGTGTCATGTCAGTGCTTGCTTCACTGAAATTACATACATGTAACGCCAAGAACTCACTTCCATCACTGCGGAATACACAAAAGATAGCATGACTTACAGATTGTTTGTATTGAAATTCTTGAACTTCTCAATTGATTGGAACTCGCTGACCTGCATCAGGCAAATCAAACATAACATGTCAGCATTGAACTTGAGAATGAGTTGAGAAAAAAAGGAAATCAAAACTGCAGAAAAAAGCTGTACCCTGCTTGTATGAACTCATACAGAGCAGTAAACTGTAGTACCTTACCTGTTTATAGATTCGAGACTGCTTATAAACTGAAACATGCGTGTTTAAAACTATATCACATTTAAGTGATGCTGATCTCCGAATTTACAGTTTTAGAAAGTCATAGTAAAACATCTCAAGGCTGTCACCAGGATAAATGCCATGATCTCAGAGATAAGGTCAATATCTACCTAGAAGACGCCGATAAGCAGGAGTCATTGACAACATTCAAGATGGCAGACACGTATGTTGTTGGCCTTCGCATTGACATATTAGAGGTAGCACAGAGGTAACTAGTCTACCAACTAAATCATCTTAAAACAATTAATGTTGCCAAAACAAGGGTATTAATTTCCTCGTGGGCCGTTATGTAGCCTAAGTACCACTATAACTCCCTTAATTCCCACGTAATCTCAATAAGAGGTCAAGAAAAAAAAATGCAGTGGAATTGTAGTAGACGTACAAATTCTGATAGACCCAATGCATGCTTCAGACCATGGAAATAAAGGAAAAGGGGAGAATAAGGACCACTCACATGTTCATCAGGGACTTGTGCAATTTCCAACAGCTGCAATAAGTGACAGAAGTATGTCAGTCATGAATCCCTTTTCCCCTTGGACTTCCAGTTTTAGAGTAAATCGAGCTTATGAACATGTCTGTGATTTTTCCGTGAAATAACATGTTCTATTTACAATCGAAACGAAAAATATGAAAAAGACGTAAAAGTTTTCATTTTAGCACAATGTTTGCATTGCTGCCAAACCCATATCCATCCAGTGTTATGAAAGCTAGGATTAATAAAGTCAGTTCCGAGGGGAATTTAAGAAGTTAAAGATATTCAAGCTAGGGACAATACATAAATATCGTGGCACCGAATTAATCTGAAAAACATCCATGGATGGAATCTCTGAGATGTCAAAATCAAATAAGGTTCCACTCTCAGATTTGCTGGGAAATGTAAGTTTGTTGAGACTCTAGTTATCTTAACCATCAGAAAGAATTGCACTTTTAATGTATTCGAGGGAACTTTGTAGCCTGTGTCATAATTTGAACAACAGAAAGCTATCTCGCAATAATAACTAACAAATAAAATGATGTTACTTACTTGAACCTTTCCCTCATAAGAAATGAGGCTACCACCCTTCACGTCACACAACATCTTTGGAGTAACCTGCAAAATTGTGAGCGATTTAATACAAATCCAATCTATTAAAACAATTCTTCACCACAATCGTCCGCATCTACCTCCATGCAGTACTCATTCCTGTTTGTCATCAAATGATTTAAGATTTCTATCGGATTTAGTTAAGGTCCACGGAACAACAAAAAATTATCAATGGGCCCAATTGTCAAACTAAACTCAGGAAGTACAGAGACATGTGATTAAAATCCAGAAACCACAGATATCAGAAGAAACTAAGAATGGAAGGATACTCAGGTCAACAATCGCACCCGAGTTATCTGAGTTGGCAACAAAAACATATTCCTTGCCCTGTAAACATGAAAAGTGAGAGAAAAGGGAATAAGCAAACGAAAAGGCAAAAGTAAGAGGAATGTACTAATGCTGATTGTGATAAAAGAAAACCTGTGAGAGCAAAGCATCAAGTGTACGGCTGTTCATCAAGGATGGGTATACATCACCATTACCCGGGGCATACCTGTGTAGAGCATTTGAGACGGGAGAAAGGTTACATCAAAGATTTCCCATTAAAAGTTTATGACAAAGAATCCAATCGAGATAGTAGAATTCTGTCTATTAAAAAGTATAAAAAGCACAAAAGAATGAAGAGATAGTGATTAGTCAGAAATTGTTGTCGAAAGAATTAAAAGTCAAGTTCAACTGTTATATCTATTAAGGCCAGATATTGGTGGCAAATAACTTCATGCATCAATTTTAATTTGCTCAAGCCGGCATGCATTTTTCCCACATCCAGGTTTTACAAAGGCGTAAAAGGTGGAATTCCAAAGGACTAATGACTTAGATACAGCGAACCGAAAGACCTACAATGACAGCCTCTCTTTTCAAATGACCCGTCTTGAAGCAAAATCATTTTGATGCAAAAATGGTCCCAGAAATTTAAAGAAGAAAGCATCACGATCATGAAGACCGAAGTCCTTATGCTTGATATTTAACCAAAATTTTACCATCCATCGCTTGCAGTCTGTCCTTTGCAAGGCAGAGGCATAAAATCATCAACATCCAAGCAGGGATACCGGCTCTGTATATAATTCAATCAAGACGGTCGAGATAAAAATGACTTAGTCAATTCTAGAATAAACTCATAAGCAGATACTTTAGTTTCCATAAATAACAATACCACATATTTTGTTTTTCATTGTTGTCGATATCCCATATACATCAAAGGTGCTATGCTTTTTTTTTTCATTTTCAAATTCTACGTAGGGAAAATTTCAAATAAAGGCTTGATGTGCCTTAATTTTCTCAAATAAGGGTCTAAAGTGGACTTTGTCTCAAATAATGGCCTGAAGTGGCATGTCAGTCTCAAATAAGGGCCTAAAGTGGCCATAAGAGTTTTAATTAAGGGTCTCACCTCATCGGTCACCGGCCGGCGAAATATTCCAACCGGTCAAGGGCATTTTTGTCCAAAGACAATTTTAATTTTCTTTTTCTTTTTTTTCCTTTTTCTTTTTTTCTCTTTTTTTCTTCATCGGTGGCCAAGGCACTGGCAAAAAACAAAGAGAAACCAGAAAAAAGGAAAAAAGAAAAAAGGAAAAAAATTCAAGAAAAGTTAAAAGACGAAAATGCCCTTACTATCTTGAAAAATAAGCCCTTCTTTGAAACAGACGTAACTACTTCATGCCCTTATTTGAAACAAACTTCACTTCAAACCCCTTATTTGAGAAAATGATAGCACTTCAGGCCGTTATTTGACATAAAGTCCATTTCATGCTCTTATTTGAGAAAATGAGGACACTTCAAGCCTTTATTTGGAATTTTTCCTTCTACTTATGCAGAAATTAGCCTTTTCAAAGAGAAAATTTTTCAAGAAACCTAGTTTTTTTCTAAGTTGTCGAGCAAATTCATGAATAAATTACCCGTTAGAATCTAGAAATTTTAAAGATAAACAACTTTTTAACACGGTCACATGTTTATAAATATTTACTTTGAATACATTCTAATCTAGTTATTTCTTATCATTTGTCCTTCACATACATATACATCTAATGGATGATTGGATGAAAAATGAATACCCTCTTTAGGCCCTGTATGTTTCACGAAAGATTAATGATTTAAAATACATTTTCCTCAAAATGATCGCTTAAAATAATTAGTTAATAAAAAATATTTATTATCACCAATAACTTATATCCAAATATTTCTACAAATGATAAAAATATTTTTCTTTCATTCATCTTTGTAAGAGATTTAAGCAATTATTTTTTGAAAAATATATTCCAAATCATTCATTTTCCTCGAAACAAACGGAGCTTTAGAGATGTTCTTTTTTTCCCAATTACGTTCCCCAAGGTGAAACTTTGGAAGATGAAATTTAATTAAACTAAAGCTTCGTACAAAATAAGATGTCTTAATGAGCAAAACTTTTTCACGCTGTTGTTTTTATTGTATTTTAGATATATAACGTCTTACATGCTCTATGTAAAAGTGTCTCACCAGTAGCAAGGAAAAATCACAAATTCTTCGATATAGTAAATAAAGAGACTTGATATGTTATTTAGACTAATGAAATTAAAAATAATAAAAAGTTCACCATGAAGTAAGCTTTTGAATCGGACCAAAAAAAAAGTGAGCTTGAAATAGGAGGTGCGAAAAATAGATAACTTATTACCGGAGCAAGAAGGAAGAAGAGACTAATTTTTATTTTTTAAATATAAAGAAGTTTAAATATGACGAAAACCATAAAGGAAATGATTAAATTAAAGGAAACTGAGTAAGTATGAAAACCATGAAGGCTAATTTTGTCTAACTAATGAAAAAGAAGTGGATTTAGTCATTTAGAGTGGAAATAGCCCCACCCAAAAAAATATTGTATTATCTACATAAACCATCCCCACCGTCGATTATAAGAGGCCCCATAGTAGGTTTAACATAATTAATTCGACATGATTCATAGACACATAGACCAACACATTCCAAATGTCTGAAATGCTCCTTGACCAAAGATCTCGAAAGTATTTGGGCCAAATTGAAACAATTTCTTAGCAAATCTTTCAATTTATATACGTAAAGTTCTTTTTTTTTTTGCTGGAAATGTAAAATTCTTTTTCGGTTAGGCATTTAAAGATTTGTTTTTTGCTTGTCATTTCTCATTGATATAATTTTCTTTGTCGGCTTAAATTTAGTTCGAACACCTCTTATGCTGAAAATGTTAGTCACAAATTACATTTAATAGTTCTGTTAGGGTGTGGTTTACACTCTCCTCCGACCAGAAGGCACGGGGCCTCGAAATTAGAGGGCTTTCATATTTTGAGCATATATTTTATTGGTAGTTTGGGTTTGAGCCCATGAATACATATTGTTGCATATATAGTATATATTTTATTTCTCTTGTAATTGAGGGGTGTGTATATATATATATTTTTCTCTCTTATAATTGATGAGTTTTAAAAGAGAGGTGCAAGGTACTAATTCTAATGAAACCCTCTGTTTTGTGTAGCTCTTATCTCGATTTTCTTTTTTGGCTTTTACTCACTATTTTCTTATGATTATGCACCAAATCCTAGCAAATTCGTGCCATTTTGTACTAAGATTAGAATGGTTCACTTGTATTTAATATGGTTCCAACGATTTGCTCTAGATATGTCGATCTATGTTGATATTTTGGCTGAACTAAAATATGCAATTAGAACGAAGTTCATTTACGTTTGGCAAATGAGTGAGATGCATTTGTTGCATCGATTCACCTGGCCCACCGAAAGGAAACGCGAGGTGGATCAATTTCTCATGAGGTAATATGCAATTAGTGCATTGGATTCACCAGCCCACAGCATCTTTTTCTTTCACCCAAGCACGAATCCTCATTTCATTCCATTGCCACAACTCACCGCAGAAAGATATAGGAATCATCATTCCATTCCAGTCAGTTCCATTCCTGGCCCGCCAAATGCAACATAACTATTTAAATGAGGATTGTCATACCTGCTAAAAAATACTAGAAAAACAAAGAAAACCAGACTTGTTTCCATTTAACACCACCCACATAGAAGAAAACCAAGGATGCATGCATGTTTGGAACAATGTTACCCCGCCAAATGGATTAAGCCGGAGAACTTTATAACCAGGATTCAATTAATCCATATTTAAGGACCCTTTGATCCAAAAAATTAAATGAGAAAACGAATTGGGATTCACTTAACTACTTTACTCAGTATTGGGATGATGATATATGCACCACTTTCATCATCTTACTACGATTTCTAGATAGATTACATCAATTTGCCTAACTAAGTCGAGACGGCCCAAATGTATATGGGACCGTTTGATTAAGTTCATCTTGTGGCGCGTTTATTAGTGTAAATCCCATCACAATTCGATCCAATGGAAACCCAAACTCGGAAACCTTGTGAGTTGTGAGTTTAACAAGATAGTCATTTAACTAAGCAAGCAATTAACTGGTTTGCGATTGAATTAGCGTTGTTATCTGGAACAAAACCCAATGAGTACACGCTTGTGAATCGGGATGAAAATGGAATGTTTTGACAAAAGTTCTATAGCAGCGCCAGTATCTCCGGTCAAATCTTGTTTGTTATAATCTAGGACTTGCTTCCTCTGAATCTGACTGATTCTACAGTCTCCTCCTAGACTTCAGACCAAACTAGATATTGCACAAACATAGGAAACACCAAAAAAGATCTAAGTTTTTCTTCAAAAATAGGAAATGTGTGCTTAGACCCAAGTCAAGTTTCTCTAATATTTTCCTTTTCTTGTTGAGTGCATGCAAGAGCAAATCTCACACCCCGTGATCTTCGCAGTTATCGCCTCATTTTGTTTTGGTTGTTACAGTGAAAAAAAAACTTAGGCAGTATTTCATGTTTTTATCTTTTATCGATTGTCGACGTGATATCACCGAATCAATCATTCCACTAAACGACACTTAGTGATTACTATGTTGACGAAATGGTAAAGCTTGATTGACTTAGTGATACCATCGTTCTACTAAAAACGCACTTAGTGACTATTATGTCGACGAAATGGTAAAGCTTGATTGACCCGGTGATACTATTATGTGGATGAAATGGTAAAACTCTCGATGATACTGCGTCAACATGACACGCGGTGTGGAGAACGCCGAAACTACTTTCACATTGCAAGTGGGTGCACCTGATTGGTCCATGCAGAATCCGAAACTTCCAAGTCTGGAAAGCTCCAAACTTGGCAAACCCAGATTCAGATTTCGCTCTTTTAATGAGATCCTGTTTTGGGGTGTTCATTTCCAATGTACGCTTTATTGAGAATCGAACCAACTGGAGTTTTCTGAATAATTGTGCTCTGTATATTTCTAGTCATCATCACAGTATATATATATATATCCGATTCTAGGTGTGTGTTGCCCTCAACTTTGTTTTTCTGGGGGACTTTGGAGAAATCAGCAGAGGCGTTACTCTGAGAAAATGGCTGATTCTGGAGGTAGTGGAGGTTCAGGTGAGGAACATGAGCATAGGCAAGAATCTCATCCGAGCCCAAATCCAAGCTCAAGCTCCAGGAAAGGGAAGGGGAAGGCGAAGACGTACCATCGTCACACTCCACACCAGACACAAAGGCTTGAAGCGTAAGAAAACGAGCAAACATTTTATTTGATCCCCAAAGAAAAAGAAGAAGAAGAATGTTTCATTTGTTGCCATGTGACCGACCCAAATTGAAGAAAGGAAAAAAATTGTTTCTTGCTGGTAATATATAATATTTTTTGTGGCACGGCGTGTCAAGGTGTATCAAAATTTGGGTTCTTCACCGTTCGGGTTATATGGTCTTTGAGATTATCATTTTTTTTTCGTCTAGGATTTTCTTTGTTCATCAAGATTGGCAATCTAGAAAAGTATGTATGCAGATTAAAATTCCTTCAACTGATGGATGTCCTGATATGTCCTGATGATGAATCTTCATATTCTACTGTCAATGGACCTTTTCATTTTCATTTCAATTCTTCTGCCCTGTACATGGCAAAGCTTTAGAGGTGAAAAGGTAAAAGGAATGATCTTTTGTTCTTATCAAATGCTCAACTGGCATGCCTTTTCAAGAGACTTGAACTATCATAAAGAAATATCTCCTCAACAAGAGTGATCCTGATGATAAGTGCTGTGTCTCTTGTATGCACTCAGATTTTTCAAGGATTTCCCACACCCTGACGAGAATCAACGGCGTCAACTAAGCAGAGAACTTGGGCTCGACCCTAAACAGATCAAGTTCTGGTTTCAGAACAAGAGGACTCAAAGAAAGGTAATTTCCCCTTGTCCCGTTTCAAATGACTTGTTCAAGTAGCAAAATTCGAGAGTGCTACACAGGTTGTGACATTCCATTTTACTATTTCTCAGACTCAAAATGAACGAGCGGATAACACAGCTCTTCGGGCTGAGAACGAGAGGATACACTGCGAAAACCTTGCGATCATGGAGGCGCTCAAGAGCGTGATTTGCCCAGCTTGTGGCGGTCCGCCCTTCGGCGAGGAAGAGAGGCAGCATAATTTGGAGAAACTCAAGATGGAAAATGTGCAGTTGAAAGAAGAGGCGAGTTTGTCCCTTCTCTTTCTTCTTTAATTTTCGACCGACACTACATTCTATTTTACTGATTGGTGTTTAAACTAGTGTCGTTCGTGTTCGGAAAAGTTTCGGTTTATATTGATGTCCTATCGGCAAATGTAACGCAGCATGCAAAAGTATCCAACATTCTCGCGAAATATATCGGGAAACCAATCTCGCACATTGAGTCGCTGATGCCTGGCCCTAGATCCTCCGCGGAGGTGTCCACCGCAAGTGTCCCCAACCAAGGGGTTAGTGGTCACAACGGTGACTTTGATGTGGCCCCCACCAACCCCGCGTCTTCGAGCCAATTAAAGGTTATACCAGGAACAGAAATGGCCAACACAGTGGAAATTACTGCATATGCCATGGATGAGTTAATCAGGGTTGTGCGGATGAAAGAACCGTTGTGGATAAAGTCTCCTCTGGACGGGAGATACATACTCCATCGTGACACCTACGAGCAGATATTTTCTCGAAGCTACCGTTTCAGGGGATCTGGGGCTCGTCTGGAGACATCCAAGGAATCAGTTCTAGTGACGATGGAACCGGGCAGGCTGGTTAGCATATTCCTAGACGTGGTCCGTGACAATAAGCAGTATTATTTATTTATTTTTGGGCTGATACTAAGTTTGAATTCTCAACCTCTGAATTGTTAGAATCATCTCAGTTTCACTAAAAGGGTCTCATTGGCAGAGCAAATGGGCTGATATGTTCCATACAATTGTCACAAAAGCTACTTCTATCCCAGTTCTTGAAGAAGGAACACAAGTTAATCACGGAACTTCCTTGCAGCTGGTACGAAACTGCTTATCCATGCATTAGCTAGGGTCATTTCCTACAGGGAAATTAATCGCTTGTTAATCTATTTAACGAGGCATCATGCAGATACGTGCACGAATGCACGTGCTTTCTCCGCTAGTGCCGGCTCGGGACGTCTACTTTCTTCGCCGTTGCCAACAGATCGAGTTAGGCATGTGGGTGATAGTGGATGTGTCCTCCAGTTTCATGACAGATGATGCGTGCCCGTACAATACCTGGAGGCTTCCTTCTGGCTGCGTGATTCAGGACATGCGTAATGGTTGCTCCAAGGTAAAATGCTTCGATATTTCTGGTGTGACCACCATCCAAAGTACAAGCTTGCTTCCTTACTGCTTGTTGCTTTTCTGTGTTGAAGAGTGCTCACTAGACAAAGTCTAGTTAGTCACAAATTGTCTTTTTAGAGACAACAAATTGAAGTACAGTATCTCACGCAGGCCAACGAACTATGAACCATTACTTGTAATGCAAGGAACTGCACCGTCGTGACTTAAGAAAACAATTACTGGCATTTCCCAATTAACTAACCCCCATGTTCGATCTTTAAGCAACTTGATCTTCAGGATCTACCTATCTATGACAGGTCACTTGGGTGGAACATGTAGAAGTGGACGACAAAAACCAAGCTCATAAGCTTTTTAGGGATCTAGTGTGTGGCGGTCTCACGTACGGAGCAGAGAGATGGGTGATTACGCTCCAAAGAATGTGCGAGAGATTTGCTTACTCCATGTTGGATGATGCGCCGACGCACGATGCTGTGGAAGGTAACGCTTGAATGAAATCTATGCAACCTCCATTTGTGTTTAAAGTCCTAGGTTAACAATCATTATGACATGACAGTCGGTATTACAAGTTCACCGGTCATTGTTGTTCCTGAAGGTAGGAGAAATGTGATGAAGCTTGCTCATAGGATGGTGAAGAATTTCTGTGCGGGCTTGAGCATGTCCGGCAAATTGGATTTCCCTAACCTGTCTGAGGTTAACAACAGTGGGGTCCGTGTCTGTGTACGAAAGAGTGAAGAACCAGGACAGCCCAGCGGCACGATTGTTAGCGCAGCCACATCCCTATGGCTTCCTCTTGTGCCTCAAGTGGTCTTCAATTTCTTCAGAGACGAAAATACGCGAGTTCAGGTTTCACAGGAAAACACCAACTCCTATTTAATAAAGATATTGTTCATTTAAGATTCACGTTACTGAAAGAGAGGATTACCTTTCTGTGTTCTAATGTGCAATGCCTTGACAGTGGGATGTACTCTCGAATGGAAATCCAGTCCAAGAGATAGCACGCATACCGAGCGGCACTCGTCATGGAAACACAATCTCCATTATTCAGGTGATACTCTCACTGCTCCGCATGCTATTTACTCAAAACACCATTAGAGGAGGAACTAAATAACACTGACATTGTGAGAGGTACAATAGCCTTTCATATGGAGACTATTTGTCTCTTTAGCAGTCCACAGGTTTTCCTAGAAATCTTCTATGCCTGGATTCGCAAATAAATAATATGTGTCAACTTGGATAGTCACAGTACAATTCATGAGACGCATGGTTTCTAGAACATGTAGTTGTCGAAATTCCACATTTACCTTTTTATGAAGTAACGGAGTCATCATCACCACCCGCCTGGGTGGCGCTGCTGGAGCGCGCACTCTTCCTCTCGCAAAAGGTTGAGTGTTCGAACCCCGGGTGCCGCAGGGTGACTTAACCGGTGCACGTGTGTGGTGGCTAGCACGTGTCGCCCCAGGGTTTACCTCCCGGCTGTCGGCCGTGCGGGGGTTCCCTGGGTCATCAAAAAAAAAAAAAAAAAAAATCTTTCCACATCAATTCTCGTGCGTTTGTCGTTGTACATGCACATTGGTCACCATTATGGGGTCGGAGTAACATCATGCTAAATACATGAAAATTTAGCTGCATGCATTGCCCGTTACGTATCCATTGGCATACGGTGATCACATTTTCATGGCAATTCATTAAGTCGAATAAGATACTTCTGGACTCAAGTACCAACCATTTCTTGTCAAACAGACTTCTCTGCATGCCGAGAACATGTTGATGCTTCAAGAGAGTTGCATAGACCCTTTGACGTGCATGGTGGTTTATGCCCCGATCGATTCAACAGCGATCACCATCACGTTGAGTGGAGAGGACACTTCGACTGTACAAATTCTTCCATCCGGCTTCACGATCTCCAGCGATGGCCGGGCCAATCCGGGATCAAGACCTTCCACCAGCACAAGCCCCAGCAAGCCGGCAGGTACACTTCTCACCGTGGCATTCCAGATATTGGTTTCCAGCTCCTCAGGTCCGGAGCAGCTAAACGTGGAATCTGTGGCGACCGTGAACACTCTCATTAGCGCAACTGTTCAGAAAATTAAGGCTGCTCTAAATTGCTCTGCCCCAGAATGATCTTTTTCTTTCTTTCTTTTGACTAGGCGGAATGATCCTTTCGTTTGTGTTGAATGGTTTATACTGAAAGATGAGATGATATAATTTCACAGCGTCACCGGTGGTACATACTAGTTGGTTTATCTGCAATTCGGAGTGTCCAAGATCTAGAGCACGGTACCCCACAGGAATTTAAAGCATGTAATTTGCTACTAATTCTTATAGGCGTATGCTCATGACTCATCAAATTTCACACTGGCGATAATTATGCCGGAGAGGCTATGTTTGTTACAGAAAAAAATCACTCACCCTCTTTGCTCTTTTTATAGCTACCACCTGACCATCATCTAGTTGTGCCCTGTAGACAGTCCCCAAGCCTCCTTTCCCTATTCGGAATGAAAGGTGGCAAATTGTTTGTTGCTTTAGTGACCTGATTGAAATTGAGATGCAGCGATCCAAGTCGATTGAGTCTTGGAGATGGGTACATTGAAA